CCCCCCAACCGCATATCTCGAATATTCTGTTGATTACTTGACCTAAGTAAAGAAAAGCCGGAATGGGGAGAACTCGACCTCCAATCTGGTTGGGTTGAGGCCTTCAGGTTATTTACAGCAATCTTACAACGGTTCTCAAAGGGACTTTGCCTTTACATCATAAGCCACACAGTTACGTTACTTTAGGAAGTACCTCACGCTATTTTGAGTCCATTTCACGGTGCAGAGAATTTCGCTAAAGTAGAGGCAAATGCTCTATAGAGCTGACAGACATTAACGAGGTGAATATAAAACATTACGCAACATGGATGGCTAAACTTGGAGGAGATTGATACAGATTGAAAACATCGAACTAAACTAATTTGTAGGCTAAATTTTTCAGACCCCACGATGTAAGAGAAGTTCAGGGAAGCCGGGAGAATTTATTAGTGACCGTGATTTAAGCCAAAATGGACATGTGATAGATATTATGAATTTATATTCTTTTGATATGCAGCGAGTGAATTTCAGAACCAGCGTGACGCGTGATTTGTTTCCTATAACATATAGGCGACCTGTGAGTTTCCTTTCAGCATGTAAAACCTCAAGATTTCCCGCAAACTTTGTACAACCGAAGAAATACTTGAAATTTTTCCTTTCCTATCCGTTACGCGTGATTTTTTCATTCAAAAATTTGTGCTTAAAAAGGAATCGGGAACCGTACTTTGTTACCTTTGACGCTGTATAATCCTTGGACAACACCTTGTAAACTTAATTTAATTGTGTGGCCTTACCTATTTGAACTGAACGAAGATTAGCTTGAAACCTTTACCATCAGCGAGAGAATGATTGATAATATTTAACAACAACGTTTGAGATGGTCTATGAACACTTGGTTCCTTCACCAATCAATTGATCTGTTTCTTTTCTTTTGTTTGAAGCTTGAACAATTTTAGAGTCCAGTCCAGTGTGAGATCTTTTCCGGAGCGCACCGTGAGGAAACTGGATCTAGCCACCAAAATTAAACGTTGCGTGTGATGTCTACATGCTGACTTGTTGGTTAGAATTTTTACATCATTCTCAGGTAAGCTACAGTTTTACGCTCACACCATTTGCGTGAGAAATAATTTCAACTTTAATAGTTGATACTGAGTCAATTTTACTCAACATATGTGACAGTCTCGACACATTCGATGGATAATTATTTGAACCCTGAAATGTAGAGAGCTCGTGGAGTACCTTGATCGTCATTTAGATAGCTTCTATTAGAGAGTTTATTAAGTTAAATCTCGAGAGTTAATTATTGCCGTTACATGCTTGTGGTTTCTTTTTTGTTTGTGAATAACATCAACGTGAATTTTCAAAACGGCGCAATTCAGAATTTAAGAATTTTTTCATGCTTAGCGTGGGTATATCGAGTAAGGATACAAGAGGTGCTCGAGGCGCAGCAGAGAGCAACTCTAGCTTCTTGAGTGCTCTCCAAACTTCCCAAGTACATCCATAACTCGATATACGCACAGCTAAAAGCATGGAACAATTCTTTTAGAACATACGACAACAATTTGGGCGCTGAAAGACATTTTATTTTTTTGATTGATTACAAAGTTCTCGCAACGAAGTACAAAGGCGCTCATTGGCTGATTATTAACACGCCACAATCACTTCAGCGACAGTTGAACAGAACGCTTCATCTAATTTCTAAAATTGTCAATGAAAAAGTCGTTTCTTCGAAAGTGGGTGAATTTTTTTTAAACAAAGTCAAACTCCTCGAAGAAAATGTCACGGTAACCAAACAAAGTCAAAATACACGAGTTTTGGTAAACAAGCCTGGTTGGTAAAAGTCAAATACCAGAAGTAGCGGGATTTGCAGTTTTAAAAACGATGTTCACATTGCCGTGTACAGTGCAATTATTCCCGAAGTCGGACTCCAGGAAATTTGCATTCTTGTCGTGAGCCACCACCGCACTGTTATTTTGACGGACAGTAGTACTGGTGAAAGAGGACTCAGTTGTGCCGTTGACAAGGCTGTTTGACAGGACCTCACGGCAACTGCGAAGCTGGGATGTGGATGGGGGCGTGTTGTAATGAGCAAGGCTTTACTCATTTCTGTGACCGGAGATCGCCATGATGTACCTGTTTTGAATTCCTGCATTAGACCACAAAGTTATGGCTGTCGCCCTGACGCTGTGGTTGGTGTAGTATAGAGCTTCGACAAGGATGCTGCTTCGCTTATGTTTTTCATCATGGAGTCGAGCGAGTTAACTCCGACTGGAAGTGCTTCGTACCAGATGTTGTCGTCAAAACTCCAGTTCTTTCTTGGATATTGGAAAAACGACTCGCTCTTCGGGTTTAATTTGGACATGTACAATCTCAAGGCCTTGTAGCCGTCGTTCCCGCCGTCTGTTTCTTACATTCGGGCCAACTTTTCGGTGCTTAAAAGGTCGGCAATTCCACCAGGATGATTTTTGGTGGCTTCATCATGCGCCATCGTCGCCAAGTTGCGGCAAGTTGGGTCCACTTCAAACTTAAAGCTGGTTGTTTTCAGGGTCCTCTGACCCTCTCGACCTCTTTTACAAAAGAAGAGGATGATATTGAACCACACGTTACGGAGCAGAGAAAGTGGGCTGCTCAAGGCGAGAACTTGCGAGGATTTTAGCCGCAGCAAATCCTCGTTTTCAATCGCCGGTTTGTGTTTTACGTTTTCTTTTTCATTGATGCTTCAAGCTGACAACTGTCGCATTCACTATTTCGTTTGACCTTTGAAATCTTGGATTAGAAGTGAGCTTTAGGCCTTTGTTCAGTGACGGTGCATTCAGATATCTTTCAATGTCATGACGAAGACTAAGGAGTGTAGATTTACTGTACACATTTCCGATTCTTTTGTTGATTTTGTAATTAAATGGTTTTTGGTAGGTTTAACAAATGTAACCAAAAAACGTCAACAACAGCTAGAGACGTTTACCTTTAAAAGTTCCCACAGACCAATTTGTAGTCTTCTTAGTTCTTGCTGAATGTCTTTCAGCTATAATTTTCTCCAGCTCCTGTTCCGATAAATTCGGGAAACGGGCCTGTTGTGCTTCGTTTTCGTTGTGCTTGTTGGCTTGACTGCCTGCAGGAAGGTCGAAAGCCAAAGAAAAGTTTAGTTGGTCTTCCATTTATTGATATCGCTTTCCGAAACTTTAACTTAAGGAACTCACACGACGGAAATTCTGCAACTATTTTGAAACTGCACAGGTCATTTTATTGAGCACGGCTGTGCGTACATGTACACAGAGATTTTTTTCATGATGACGCAATAGGAATTACATAGGACTAGCGCGCGCTATGTTATAAAATTGTTTGGACAATGTTTAACATCTTGCATTAGCATGTACAGCATCGTGATTGTGTGGTATTGTGTTGATTCCTCTGAATGTTCCATATTACGATCAGAAAGGAAGTCAATTTCTACACCAGTTTATTTAAATCACAGTTTCAATTTAAATACGCTTTATTTAAGTTTATTTATCTGAGTGGGTTATTTAAAAGATTGTTTAAACCGGTTGTCTCGCTTAACATTCCTGAGGGTGCTAATTTTACAGTCAACGTTAAACGACTTAAAAAATGATAGTTGTTTTCACGAGGAAGATTATATGTGACTTTGGTAATTTGAGAGCACGCGCGCGAATAAATCAATTTGAATAATATGGCGGAAGACGGAGAAGATGGTCGCATGTACGTCCTTCTTTTTTTCATTGCTGAGTTTATGCAGTTGACTTTCATCCGACGGAGGAGCCAATTTCAACAGAGGCTGAGATTGCTTACAATCAAAAGCAACAAGAGAAGAACAGAGGCGTGCTACTTTCAGTTAAGGAAGGCATTTCGTAAAAAGAAAATCGCTTGGGTTCTTGAAAGGCCACAGTTCTGGCTGGAGCTTATGGTTTTAAACCATTACGAAAATAATATCTGGCAAGAACATAGTGCATCATATGAATGGGAAACTTTATTATTTATTATTTTTTTTTATTTAAAGATTTGTACAAGCAGTACCAGAGCAAAAACAAGAGGACATAAGTCCCCTACTAGGTTTAAGCTCCATAGCTTCTTGGATCATAAAAAGAAAAATTATTCGCTCTATGACTATCCATGTTGTTTTGAATGCCGCAGAAACTTCACGGGAGAATATAAATACCACGCGTGTTGTATTTCCGATTTCACAGCCCAGTCAAATGAATAACCGCGAACTACTCCTGATTGGCCAAAATTAATTACCAACTCGCTTAAGCGACCTGGTTTAGTGGCTTAAAGTTAATGAGAATTCCACTGAAGTTTGCCGACTCGCTTAACTTTAAGCGAGTTGGCAAAACAACTGTTTTCACTCGCTAAGCGACCTGAAAAATAATGTTCTTGAGATAAAGTGCTACTGGACTAGCCTCTAACTCTTAATATCTGATGGTTAATTCTCTTCTGTAGCTGCTACATATTTCATCGTAAACCAACTATGAGAATTTGGTGTGTGATCAAGATAACTTTAGTAGTGAAAATAAGCCAACTGGGAGCTGGTCATTATGTTGGTGGTAATATTACTGATATTGATATTGTTGGTAGTAATATTGAGGTCTAACACAAACCAACATAATGACCAGCTCCCAGTTGTCATGCTAGCTCGGTTGGTAGAGCACTGCAGTGGCATTGCAGAGGTCATGGGTTCAAATCCCGTATGGGCCTGAACATTTTTCAGGCCCTGTTTACACTAGTACATAAGTGGCGATGATTACTGCGTGAATCACTTTCATACATTAAATGAAGAGAATTACCAATTAGATGTACTTTGTTCGATGCCACAATTTCCAGTGGATAACAGAGATCCGACAGTGGAGTTAAAAAATTATCCTGATCGCATCTACAATCTAGATCTCCCCTCCATCATCTACAGGTTCTGCAAATATTTGCTCTCTCGCAATATCTCATCCATTCATTTGTGCTACCTCCCATGGTTTAAGTGCTTCACTGCTTAAAATTAAAACCGCTTTGAATCGAATGCATTACTTATAAACCTCCATGTTGCTACTCTGTTGCAGACAAGATCAGTAAAAAGGCTGAAGGCGAGACATTTAAATGCCTCCATAGAAACAAAGGTTTTAATAGAGCACCTAAACTTCACAAACATATGAAAGCTCATTCGGATGAAAGGACAATGAAAAGCAAGGCTTGCAAAGAGTGTTTTAGCCAAGCAGGAATCCTTTCCAATCATCACAAGATGCATGCGAGAGAAAAGCGTTTTAAGTGCATGGTTTGTTTTAAGCACTTTGGCAATGCAGGACACCTTCAAAAACATCACAGGGTACATACTGGAGAAAAGCCTTTTAAGTGCAAGATTTGTGACAAGGGCTTCAGCGAAGCAGGACACCTTCGAGAACATCACAGGGTACATACGGGAGAAAAGCCTTTTAAGTGTAGGATTTGTGACAAGAGCTTTAGCCAAGGAGGAACTCTTCGACAACATCACAGGGTACATACTGGAGAAAAGCCTTTTAAGTGCAAGATTTGTGACAAGGGCTTTAGCCGCGCAGGAAACCTTCGACAACATCACAGGGTACATACCGCAGAAAGGCCTTTGAAATGCAAGATTTGTAACAAGTGCTTCGGCCGAGCTGGAACCCTTCGCCGTCACGGCAGGGTACATACTGGAGAGAAGCCCTTTAAATGCAAGGATTGTAACAAGTCCTTTGGCCGAGCTGAAACCCTTCCCCTTCATAACAAAGTGAATCTGGGTGGAGAGTTTAGCTGCTGGATTTGTCAGAAGTTATTTCGCACTGAAGAATCCCTGCAAAAGCATTACGATGATCACATGGAAAAAGCACTTCGTAAAGTAACTTAAGTTAAGCAGCGAATTCTGTTTTAGAGACAATGTTTGGTATTCTCCTTCTAAATAGGAGGCTCTAAACTGTTACATTCAATTCTTTTACGTCTTTTCTTTACAATAACATTTTCTAACATTAGCTTTGCAGTTTGGATCGGAGAACTTGGCTACTGGCAGTAAGCTCAATGATTTGTCTCTTCTCTCAGTTAGAGCACTCTGTTTCACAAGTCTGAATGAAGCTGACTCGCGAAGATGGAAAGTGTAATCAAATGAATGCTTTGTAATTTTTGAGGATTTTTTGTACTTTTTGAAATAAAGCATCTACGATAAAATAGCGCGACTTTGAAATGACTAAAAAACATAAGTGTTAAAACGCAATTCCCAGAGACGAATTTTTCTTAGTTTAAAAATTGTAGGTCATGTTCTGATGGAAACTTAGCCTGCAATGCATTAACATTACAAGCTCTTGATCGTCTATCTAACCAATCATTTTCGATTTAGAGTTAGAGTGGACGGTGGGGGGGAAAGGGCAGGGGAATGGCCTGCGCCGCAAGTGTTTCTGTGGAGTTTTCTGGACAGAAAAGCCGATATTCGTAGTTTCGACGCGCACGAAATGGGGCGAGAGCGATAGGTGGAGGGGGAAAGGAGAGAGAAGGTGAAGGTTTCCAGCAAAAATACGGAAGATGTAATTTCTGACGTTTGAGTGACACGAATTAGTCAGAAATGAATATTTTGATGACACGTTGAAGAGGCTAGCGTAGCATGATGGAAGTTTCGGATTCTTTAAGCTTTTCGCGGGAAAATAATAATTAAGTCATTCTACGTCGGCCGGGCTTATCTTTGTCCACTTTCTTTTGGTATTATTTGATGCATTTTTGTTTTCCACGTCTCCGTAAAATAGCGCTACATTAATTGATTTTTCTGTGATTAGTAGTGTGACCAGGTTAGTTACACTCTCATCGGGATGTGCTGCTGCATTAGATCAATTATTCAATCAACTTTATTTAACGAGGGTAACACGGGACAGTGCTTCAACTGAGGAACTAGTGGCCCTCGATTAGATGAGGAATACGTTTCTATATATTTTTTGGCCACTTCTAAAAAGTGTTTTTATAGTGGTTTTTCGTATCTGGCGTAACACAGGGTCTTTTCAAGGTAGAACCAATCAGTTTCAGTGTACATGTGTTAAGAATATATTAGGATGTGCGCACCATAAGACTGGCTTACTCATCATCCTTTTCATATTAAATAACTCGTCTGAGTGTAGTCAGAATTCGGCTTATCAGTGCAGAAAACTCCACGGAAACACTTGCTATTTAGGCTAACAAAGGAGAGTTTCCGTCCCACACCCCCTCTTTTTCTTTTTGACTGTCGCTCACCTCCTTGATACAAATTTCAATTTGTATCAGTGGGGCGAGCGGCATCAGCAAAAGACTGGGGAGATAAATAGCAGTTTTCTTCCCAACCTTCTGGTGCCGTAAAAATAAAAAATGGCAGCTGTAACTTTCACTAAGAGAATACTATGCGATCGCTCGCGCCTTCGAGGGCCTCGCTACCAGAGCCCACCGCAGTGTGCTACCATCAATTTTCTTTTAACTGAATTAAAGGAAGGACTGCACGTAGTCAAATGCCAAACGTGTTAGAATCAAAAAATACACGAGGGTCGCTAATTTATCTTACGGAAAGTTTGACGTTCGAAGTTTAAAACGATTTT